AGGTGCCAGCGCGCTCGCTGACGTTCGAACTCCTCTCGAGCGCACTGAGCCCTGGCCGGACGGGGGGGGGGGGGCGTCCATGGGTGGAGCCCGAGTGAACTCCCTGCCCATAGTTGAGCTTTGATTTTCAGAGGGTTTTTGTAGAATTGGCGAAAAATCGTTGGGAAATCAATGGGTTTCCCTAAATGGATGGCATAAACCCAAGCCCATCTATTTCTAAGCCACCGGTCCAAATGGTTCCCCTGTAAACCACCAGAGAAGGTGTACCCTCAAAAAATGGCACACTCACATCCAATTCACAACGCTGAAAAACAACCCAACGAAAAACAACCGACAACCATGCAACCGGCAATGCTTGGTTTGGTGCGTGGTCCCAAGAGCAAACAACCAACTTCTCGTTTAAAGTCCGACCTGGTCGATCCAACCTGGTCCCAAGAAACAACCAACCAACAACAATGCTGACATGAGCTTCGTTGGTTGATGGACAAAACCCACCACACACTCACACCAGGTGGTTTATCCAAATATGTGTTCAGCTGCGCTGGGCTATATTGATAGATAGTATCCACTTTGCGCCAGTATGTGGCTTGCCATACTCCTGGTCGCACCAGCCGTTGTGTCATTGATCCCAAATATTTGTAGGGTGTTGTCCGCCTTTCTGACGGACAACATCAACTTGGCCCCAGCAGGTGGCTTATCCAAGTAGGGTTTATCTTGGACAACACCCACTTTACATCAGTTGTTGGGATATCCCAATATTTGTCAAGTCTTCTACAACCCAAGGTGCAGGATTTCGTCCATCAACGCAACAAACATGGGTTTGGTGTACTGCCGTGCTTTCAAACAAAAGTCATTGTTCAAAAGGGGTGCGTCCATGTTTGTGTTCATTGGTTGCACTATGTTCACAACCGCTCGTACTTTGGACCAAGACTCACCCAAACAAAGACGCGTTCGAGAGGTTGGAATCCGGGAAACGGGCTGTCTCACTCATAATGTTGGAGAACCTAAGTAGTTTGAAGACATGCGGCAACCCTTTCCGCTCCAGACCTCGGTGGCCACGGTTCAAACCGCAAGCACTCTCTGTTGGACACACCCTTCGACGAAAAGAACGACCAAACACCGGGGACACAGGCACCATGGAAGGTCTGGGAAGCACCGCGCGCCTCGTGAGGCGTGGAGGGAGCACGTCGTTCCGATCCTGAGGTGCACAAGTTGAGTCGCTCCGTGGCTGGCCGAAAGGCTGGTGCCCCAAGACATCAACTGGTAGCACCTCTTCTAGGTCCAGATTTGAGAGGTTAGAATAGGGTACCGTTTGACGTCTATTTCACTAGGGGAACCCTCCCCCCAAAAAGGGTAAAGGGCACTACTCGGGGACCTAGCCTTCCATGAATAAAGGACAGCAAGCAATGTCAAAAGCTGTGCGTCTATGGACTCAGTGACTGGTCTGACCATCGGATGTGCGAAACTCGGGCTCCCCCACTTCGACGGCCAGCAGGCCAGGATCTTTGCCCTGGACAGGTTTCAATGTGGAACCACCTGGTTCGACTCACTTTGTGGATTGAGAGACAGCCCAGAGTGTTTCTCTGTCACTTACTCGTCTTCCCAATACGTGACTAAAGCCCAGCATTCTCACCGAGGAAGTTCAACAGGGCGATGAGTCATCGTTTGTGATTTCTAAGGAGTGACGGACACTCACCTCGTGAGTGGATGGCCCAAAAGAAGTCACCACACCTTTTGAAGTTCCACTAAAACGTTCGTCGATTCACGAGGCGTCCTTGAAAGAACCCCCACTGCCTGGAACTGTCATTTGGCTTCCTCACATTCGTCACAATTTCTAGATACGGGGCGAAAATTGCTGGCCCCCTTTTGGCATCCCCTTTAAAAGGAGGCACAAGGCGTCCAAAGGGCCATCTTTTCGACACCCGCATGCGTATTTCCAACTAGCCGAGTGTCCCGAAATAGAAAGCGCTGAACCTGAGTGAGGCCCTTAAAATTACTTACTTCCCGAGCCCAACAAAGTAACGGGACTTTTTGTTTACCGCCAAACCCCAAAAGTACAAAGTCCAGCAACTCGAGTGAGCCCCCCCGTCTACAAAAAAGAGGGCGGGGGAGGACGTGTCTGGAGGCTTGGCTTCGCTTGGTCAAAAGCCACTCCTTCGCGTCGTTGTATTGGCGAGAAGCAACGGCCAACGAACAAAGCCAAGCTTCATGATATTATGGGTGCACATCTTAACATAGGGGGCCCGGAAAACAAAAAAAGCTAGCTTCCTTTTGGTTTCCCTTTCCAACCAACCCTGAAAGGGTTGCCACAATAAAGACGAGCCACCCATGTGGCTTTCCTTGAAATCTCTCGGCAGAAATCTCTCAACTGCGCTCTGGGAAGATGGCCTCAACTACGGGAGATTCAATTGGCCACTTCCTTACCCTACCTTTTGGTGGAGCGGAAATCAACCTGTGGCGTGCTCGGTTCTCATGCTGCCCAAAACAACGAGCTAGTCCGGTGGAACCTGCAAGGGGTTCCATGTAGGCACGCCCGGTCTGTGCATTTGGTCCTGTTTCGGCGCTGGCAACTCTTTCGGCATGGGCTGAGAAAGGACTGGCCACCCTAAACTTCCTGAGGGGATGGCCTCAAAAAGTAACCAAACTTGTTGTTCTCCACTAGAATGATTTTTACCAGATTCGACTTGTTGTTTTCCACTATTTTAAAAAAATGGCAACCAAACCCAAAAAAGCTAAAAGCTGAAAGTCCATGAACTCAGGACGAAAGCCGACTCACCGAAAGGACCATGGCTTACTTGCCGGCTCTGATGGCCTGGAGCGCGCCGGTCATCGTCTTCAACATGGCATCTTCTCGGATCGCCTGGGATCAGAAAAGCGAAGCCATGGAAGGCCGGTGCGGCGGGAATGCAGACCCCTATGAAAAAAAAACCTGTTAATTAATTTGGGGGTGTCCCTGGTTTTAGTGGGGATTGTTTACTCTTGGAGGGGAACACCCCCCTATTAATAAACTGGGTTGATTTATAGGGGGTCAACCTTAACCAAGACTCAACTTATAAACATGGCCAAAAGCGGAAACTTGTTCCTTGCCTACCCGCAAAGCTAAACAATATGAAAGACAGGTGGCCAAGGGTTGCCAGATTTTGCCAAGGGGAAGCGTTACCTACTCCAGAGGTGAAACGCCTGGCATCTGGCAAGTCAGCAGCTTTGAGAAAGAAGCAAAAAAAACATCTCCCGTGGTGCCCGGAATCGAAACCTGCAACCCACTTCTTGAGCGGATTAGTTAGACTCAGTAATCACATTTGTTGCTTTCCACTGAAATGGTCCAAACCCCCAACAGTTAACTGAGGTTACCAAGTCACTGCCCTGATCACCAGACCATCTAAGTGATGTCAGGGCCCACAGAACTACACATTATTGTAAATGTGTCAAAGTCCTCCATGACCATGAGTAAATGTTTCAAGTTCATTCGTGATCCTGAGTCAATGTGGTTTGAACGTCCCTGACCCCCCACCCCCCTCTTAATAGGGTATCAACTGCTTCGATCGGATGCACATCGTCCTTGGCGATCGGGTGTCTTTTTGAACCGATGGAGCCCTGGGAAACACTTGGATCCGTCTCTGAGCATGGGGCATATTTCTGGCGTCGCAAGAGCGGCCTCACGCGGCTGAACACGAAACTCGCGCGAGGCGCGAGGCGCCATGGGAAAAACTGGGCTGTCTGTCTTGTGATCACCGTTGAAGCTGGGCCTGGAGACAGACTGCAATCATTTCCGACTCTGTGACATGTGTTCAGTCAGTCTCTACCATGTGAGACTGCTTTGGATGGCGACCCAAGGGATGTTGGGGAAAAAATCCAGTTGGCCAAGTGAAGCCTCCAGGTCGCAAGGTGCACAAACACACACACACACAGAAGCGAGAGAGCGCGTTATGAGTAAAGAAAGAACATTCGCACCAACTAGCACAAGAAAACCCAAAGAGCAAAACTTCGAGGGCTTTTCTTGTTGGTTCTCCAGCCGTGGGCAAAAACTTGAGTTTTCTTGGAAGGGCTCTTTAGGCAAAAAAGAAACACATCATGACACCAAGTCGCTGCCTTTTCCTGTGGATTCCCCCATTTACTCCCAACAAATTCATCCACGAACCCCAAAAAATGGGGTCCATCAAAAGGAGACATCCTCTACCAATGGGCGGGTTTCAACTTGGGGGTCCATGTTCACTAGGGGATAGAAAGCGCCAGACGTGCCCGTCTCGCATGCTCGCATGAGCGTTTTCCGCGCCTGAGATCACCGCGGCGCGCCGCCGCCTGATCTCAAGGGCCCACCCGAGTCAACGGATTCCTCCGTAAAGGCTTGATCTCACCTGCAAATGCTGACAAATGAGTAATAACACTGAATGGAGAAATAAGTGAATTAAAAATTCCAAAATACATCGGGATCAGTGGAACCAACAGCGGATTGGTCAGCATGGAAAGTGGAACTCTGACTCTTAGGACTCCTCAAATGAAGATTCTCCTCCAAGCCACCAAACGATCTCCTCAAAAGAGACTCGAGAAAGAACGACAATTTGGCTTCTTTATTCAACTGGATCTGAATCTTTGCCTTTCCAACCGTTGCTATGGTGGCACAAACAAACATGTTGTTTTTGGAAGCCCGCGACTTTCCTTTGAAAAGAGAACCCACCAAAATCCCACCAACCCGGCCAACCGGGCAGAGAAAGACGAGGACACCGCCTCTGCAGCTCTCAGCGCCTGGCTCGCTAGCGGGCTGGCCATGGGGTTGAACCCCAAGCCGGCGAGTCAGAGGGGGCCCATGGGATTGCAAGAGCCCCGCGAAACCAACGAGGGGCACCAAATAGCCCAGTTTTGAGAGGTCGGTGGACCAATGACATGCCTCTCTTTAGACCAAGCTCAAGGGTGCTCTCAAAAGCCACCCATGTGGTCATAGTATTTCAAGCGAATTTAGAAACCCTACGATGTGGCCAAAGCCTCGTGAAGCAACGCCTACGGCGAGACCATGTCGATGCGAGGGTTTGCTACGGCGTTGCCGCGAAGAAGGCCCTGAACCAAAACGCTGTGAACCATTTGTTGCTTCTGAACGGGCACACTGAATGAATCAAAAGGCAAACAGGTTAGGTCTGGAAAATAAGAAAAAGTAGTGAATGGTTAGGTCTGGAAAATAAGAGAAAATAAGAAAAAGTAGCTTGTCTTTAATGTTCGTTTCACACTCCCGCCTTCTAGGTCCATGACTTACCTCTGTCCAAAAGTGGGCCATGGGCGCTGACTTGAAGTGAGGCCTCAGAATTCCTGTGGACGCAATTTCTATTTCGAACCACCTAAGAAACCCAACGAAATGCTCTGCGATTTCCCGGTAAACAAGAACAAACCACGGCTTCCCATGATGTTTAATCTGGTGCGATTTGTTTTGTTCGCAACCATCCAATGGGTCAAGGGGATTCTCTAACAAAAAAGGGACGAACCCCACTTGAGGCCTCCTCCTCATCCTCTGGGGTCGACGGCTCGTTGGACGGCTGCAAAGCTCCTCACTGCCCGATTTGCGTGTGGCTCCTTTCTTTGAGGGTGCCCTTTGCGGGTTGGTTTATAGAGAAACCAACATTTTGGGGGAGCTACGAAGACATGAACATTTCAGTTCGTGCAACGAGTCCCCTTCAAAATTGCATTGAGCACACCAAGAGGTCCCCCAAAGGCAGATCTTTGTTAGAGTTGATGCCTTTTGTTGCTCCGTGTTAATCTGAAGGAGAGTATCCAACAAGGACTGGCCTATTTTGAGAAGTGTTCCAATACTGCCCCTGGCGAGCATCGTGTACAGAAGAACCAATACAAGGCGTTCAAAACATTGCGCCCCAAATCTTCGAGGTGGCTTTGTTTGAACCATCATGACTTACAAAGCGTAGTCAGGCATCTTCGGGTAACAATGACACATCTTGGAGTGTGTTTTGCCTGCATGTGACCTTGATAAACCAACTGAATACCGACTTGTCCATTCGGAAAGGAAGAACGCCCTGCCATCTGGGTTGGTCTTTGACCTGCAAACGCCATGGTCAAAACTCGTTATGCGGGCCATGGCCAATGGTCATGGTTCCTGACAAGGAGTCCTTGTCATGGTTGTATACATTCCTTGTAAAGGGATGCATGACCACCAACCCAGGGCAAAGGGCTGTTTTGACGATTGCCCTATCACCCTTTGCCGGCCATCTGGCCGGCTGCATGCTCCTGCGCGGCTGCTGAAAGCGCCCCGTCGGCCTGGCGGTCAGGATCGATCTCGAATCTCCCAAGTGCTCCCAATGGGTTTGTCGTTAGGAATCTGACCGAGGGGGTTTAGCAAAGGCGCAGCGACTGTGTGTTTTTGGTTGTCCTTTAAAACCATGGGCCGCCCTCATTTTGAGGCTCAAAGAACTGGGTACAACGAGCAAACGGTCCAGTCGGACCTGTATAGGTTTAAAGGAAAAACCAGTTGGGGGGGTCTCTTTTTGAGGCTATGCCTTCTGGTTGGTGGTTTTGAAGGAACATGAGCAAAGCCGATAAGAAAACGGAACCACACCAAAAATGGACATACCGAAAGGGCCTGAGGGATGATGTACTCTGCAGGTCATGTACCACTCATTTTGGGGGTTCCACTGATTCAGCACATGGAGCCAACCCTGGATCGACTCTGAGAGCCTCTCTGCCGAGGACTGCCTTCCTTCTCCCGGCCTTAGCAATCGCAACGCAAGGCATGGGAAATGATTCGGGCTGCTCCTCCTGCTCTGTGTGGCTCCAGAAAAAGCCGGGATTCCGCAGGTGTTCTTTGTTTCCGAATACCAAGATTCTAGGGGTTGATTTCCCATTCTTTTCAACCATCGTTCTTTTCAAAACCCGGCTGTTTCCCCTCGGTTTTTGATGGTTTCCTGAAAAGAAGGATCCCTGGAAATGGAAGGCACCCCTAGAAAGATGCCCAAGCTGAGCCACAGTTATACTAACATCCAGTGCCCGCAGGCCCTGTGGTCTATTTCAGTAGGGGAAACCCTCCCAACCAAAAAAGGAGAAAAAAAACACAAACAAAAAAAAAACACTGCACGGACCTAGAAGAGCAAGGGTCCAAAGCCATCGAGCAACAGAAGCTCGGCTCTTGGTCCTTCCATAGATTGGCCCCATTACGAAACCTTGGCTTACCACACCGAGTGACTCCGCGGTCTTTCAAACCAGCTTTGCATCTGAAGCGATCTTCGCGCACATGCGTCCTTTTTGGTTGATGCGGTTGAAAATAGCTGGCCCTGATGTATCTTTTTGGCGGCGTATTACTCTACCAGTGCATTCTTTACGCAAGCCAACCAACAAGCACAATCTTCGCGAAGCTTTTCTCACTTCCTGGATTGGTCAAAACAAGGCCCATATTTTTCTTTACCACATGTGGGGGGGGACCTGAACATGTAAAAATACATGTTTGACCCCCCCACCCCAAATCAAGCATTAAGGGGTTGGTGATTACCACATGGATTTTTTCCCGTAAACAGTGACAAACGTCCAGACTCAGCTTCACAAACCTCAGGGACTAAGCTTTCACCCCACCATCCGGATCGAATCGACTCCGAAGCTTCACTCTATATGGCAGTTTCTCAAAATTAGCCATTTCTGCCGGTGGTTGGTTTCGTTTGGTTTCCCTTTAAATACCAAGGAACATGATTTGTCATACGCCATTGTATGAGAAACCTGAGTGAATTGGCCAAAAGCAGTGGAACTTCTCATTTGCAAACATGATCGATCCAAGTCCCCCAAAAGTCACTAAATACTCATGTACCACTAACATGGCAACCCGCAAAATCCCCAAAAAGCGGCACCTTTGGTCCAAAAATCCCCCCAAAAAGCGGCACCTGTTGTCCCGTCGACTCACTCGGGGCCTCCCGATGTTTGGCTTGGGCTTCCGGGCTGCGCAGCGCCAGGGACTTGAAGTTCCGCTGCACCGCCTCCCGCACCTCCGCCGCCTCGATCTCCTGGCCGTGGTTTGATTCCAGGGCGGTGGTTGAAATGGAATCCACGGATCTGTGCATCACTCACTCACCTTGTTTTTTCATGTTTCGTGTTTGTTCTTTTTTTTCATTTGTTCCATGCTTTTATCTTGTTTTCTGGGCATATTTTGTCATTTTATTCAAGTCTGCACGGGGCCGTGGGCACAGATGGTTTATTGGGGGGGGGGTTCTGTGACATTTTACCTGTGAGGGGGATCGAGATTCCCTTGTATCCTGGGGGTGAACCCTGAGTGATCCCACAACCCTGATCCCAGGATCGAAAATTGCCGCAACGAGTGGCTACCAAGGAGTAGATGGACCTGGGGTGAAGACAAACAAATTGCTCACCAACAGGGGGGATTCACAAAAAGAGGCCTACGAGAAGCAAAAGAACAGTTCTCAACTTGATGGTTAGCGGGAAACCAGCAGGGGTGGGGAAAAAGAAAGAATGCATGTCTTAAAAGGAAACTAGGGGCTGATTTGTGTAGGGATGATTCCCTCGCCCCCTGTCGAATCACGGGGGCAACCATCAAGATCTCAAAGCATTGGGCAGGGTCTCCGAAAAAGGTGCCCGTCATGTTTGGTTGTTCAACTGTTATTTCGTACAGCAAGTCGGATGTAACCATGGTTATAGGTCATGCAACCTACTTACCAGGATATAACCAAGGTTTTAGGTCAATCAAACCCCTGTTGCCTGGCTTCTAACCACGGTTGTAATCCACTTGCCAAGTAGGTTGAACATCCAAGCGGGGCACCTGTGAGCCCCCCCCAAATCCCTGTCTCCCCAAGCAAATGCATCATGCAAGGTGGGCCTCCAACGACCAGACGTGGGGTGAAATTGGTCAAAGTCAACCCGAGATATACAGGAAGCTTACTTGGGCAGCCCGGATTCTCAGCCCAGGTTTGTGTGTTTCTTTAATGACCCCAATTCGTGTCGGGTCCTCAATTCATTTATCAGTCGCTACCCGAGGGGTCAAAGTACCTCCAACTTTGATATTGGGGCCAGTTGGCGACTGGCTTGAACAGCTGGCATATAGCCTGTTGTGCCTGATACGGGCACTTGGCGGACGGTCACCATCCTGCATCCCCGTCTATGTTTAAGGTGGCTCACAACCTGACTGGATCTCCACAAAAAGACTGAACATTGGTGTTTACACGTCACGAACATAGCCCTGGACCATTTAAGTCCAAAGTCCAAAGCACTTGAGTCACTATCGCAACCGATCGGTATTGAAATGGTTTCTCCAACGCGATCGAAAGAATCAAGCAGTGGCCGCACCTATCGCTGGCACTATCGACCCAAAGCCCTATGCAGTGGCCACGGGAAACAGATTCGGCACCATTTTTGGTACATGATGTTAAATGGGGTTGGCCCTTCCAAAAGAAAGAAAGGAGGTGTCCCGCTGGGTGTGCAGTGCCATCCACAAAAACTACCCGCCAATGATGGTTTGGAGGGAAGCCACCCCAAAAGTAATTTGGAGACACCCCTCAGGGTTGCCACCCATTTGGGCCATGACTAAAATGTTTGCACTTTCTACCTGTGTCCTTCCAGTACTCCGAGCTCAACTTAGCTTCCTCTTCAATCGCATCGCCAAAAATTGGATACCGGGTTCCAGCTCCAAACCGGCTTGCTTCGATAACCAGCTAGCTTTAAGGGACCCAGCGAACCCCAAACTCAGAAGACTTGTCTTTCTACTAGGCTGGAATTAGGACCCCAGCAAAAAAATATACGTTTTGCCTGGTTAGTGGAAAACAAAGGGACCCCAAAAAAGCAAAAAAGGAAAAAGGGGAGCGAATTCTGGGGAAGTCTACACATTCTGCTTGAAAAACCTATCAATTTGAAATATAGCGGCTCGCTTAACCCCGAAGAAGTCCTCGATGATCTCCGGAATCGGCAGCACCGGCTCATCTTCGATGGCCAACTGCTCACTCTGCCGGGCCTAGGTACCCGCGGCAGGTCCCAAGTCAGTGGAAGGCGGGAACCCAAATCGATTTGGCTTGGCTCATCTCTTTTTGGAGCTGGTGCCTGTGTTTTTGGTGGTTTGAAGGGCACCGTTTTGAGGGGTCCGATTCCTAAAAAGGAACCACACACCCGATTTACCATTCTTTCAGGGAATCCCCCGTTTTGGTAAACACAAAGCAGTAGCTGGTTCGATAGGCAGGGCATGAGGGACCCCGACAAAGTGAACTATCTTGTGGTTTCCTTTGGGGTTCATTCCCAAAACCGCCTTGGCTCCCTGAGAGCCAGCGAGTCCAGGTTGTTTGACCCCTCTGCTGACCCCACAAAAAGACGGACTCCCGCAAGCTTGTGGGGGGACACAGAAGATCGCAGGCTCCGTTTCTGCTTCACTTTCCGTCTATTCTTAAACAGAACGCAACAACACACAACTGGACCGGAGAACAACCACCCCACCCTCCCAAACAACACCCCTGGACCGTAAAACAAGTTGGTTTCCCGCTGGTTTGTCGTGTCTCAGGCTGCTACCGCCTTGCGCTCCTGCTTCAGCGACTCGAAAAACGCCGCCTGGGGGTTTTGATTGTGGCCGGCAGGATCCCAGCTGCTGGACCGGGGAAATGATAGGATAGAATATATACAGTATGGCAATCAATACACAACCATCAGCAAACAAGTACATACCTATGTGCAGAATATGCACATCGTATATTTATATGCAAACTCACACATGCAAATATACCACTCACACCTGAAGAGTTTCCCAGTTCAAAACTTCCAGTCGTTTCGCCACTTAGGTAACCCTCAGGACGTCTTGCCATCGTTTCCCCTTACCTGTATGACGGACTGGGCTTGTAAAAACAACATAGGCCGCTCGTGCCGCCTCGGACCCCGAAGCGATGGCAAGGTACTCGCGCTCCAGCATCCTCCAAAGGCATGAAGGTTATCACGGTCCAAGAAAGCCCAAGGAGCCCCCCTAAAAACGTCGGGTTCTTCAAAGGATCGGATTGGGTTGGCCAAACTTCCGATCGAGTGGATTCTCAAACAGGTACTCAAACGTTGGGTTCTTCACAGGATCTCACTTCCGATCGAGTTGGGCAAAGTCCAAACTCTTTACCGCTCAAGTGTTCCCAACAGGTTTTAAGTCCTGAAAATGAGGGATACATTTGCGCCACAACATATCACCTTTACACGCTGATTGGAGGATCCCCTTTTCAAGCAGGTGCTTTGGGATGCATCATTTAGGGAACCCTGAAAAATTGCGCCAGCACCTTCAATTTGTTTGTCCCCTGGAAAATAGTGATAGATTCCCTCCAAAACCAACAGGGGAAAACAAACATATTCTTAAGCAAGCAACAGGGGGCTCCTCTCAAACAGCTGGCCTGTTTAGGATCTGTTTCAGTTTTGATCTGTGCAAGGATCACCTCGGATTCATGTAGAGCCCGGACTCGTTGGTGCACTGCATGGGCGCTTCGGGACGCCAAAAGCGAACCCTGCATCGCTGAAATGCGATCCAGGGTTCTTAATCCAGGGTTCCCCTTCGGTTTGGCAGTTGAAAGGGGGCCAACCTGAAGGGTCCCCAGTTTGGCCAACTTCTCACAGAATAATTGGTCAAAACGAACAAAAAGACCGACTTTCCCACTGAATGGGAAAGAAAAACAAGGGTCACTTGGCCTTCCAAGGATCTTGATCGACCAAGGTACACGTATGGCCAACGGCCATGTTTTTCGTTCACCCAATGTCCTCTGGCATGGCCCGGCCATGGCCCCAAGAAGGTTTTTCAGGAGGTTGTTTGTCGCAAATCCATCGGAAACTTTAGGCAAGTGGGGAAAACATAGGTGTGTCTTAACTTGGTTGCAGTTGATCCCCTCTAGCAACCTCTTGTGGGAACAATCCCCAACGAAACAGCCATAAAGCTATATGCGGAACCCCGAATATTATAGCTTCCCCTTGGTTTCTTCTTAAACCGACCCCCCAAAAAAGCAGACACCCGCGGGCAAAAACAGTTTTTGCAAAATGGGACACGACCCCCTTTTGTCTTTTCATGGAAAAACCACAAGGAAACTCACTATTTGAGGAACCATATTTTTTTAAAACAAACCAACCATTTGATGGAACCACCATCTTGACAACCCCTCCCCCCATATGAGTCACAATCAAAACCCGGTCTAACAATGATCTACCCAGATCCTTGCAACGAATTGAAAAGTCCTGTATCCGCACCGATTTATGGTTGGGACTATCCTCATCTACCCGAATCTGTTTTGATCCTCTGTCGTCCTGGGATGTAAATCTTTACTAAAACAGCTTCACCAAAGCTGGCAACCACCCGTTCGTCCATTTGGACTCAAATAAAAAGGAGCAGGAAGCCGTCCAGCGCTTTTCTCAAAAGTTGTGAGGGGTTGTCACGCTTGTCCGGCCGCACGCGAAGCCCGCCTGCTGGCAGCGCGCGCCCCTGCTCGCTCAGAGCAGGTCTGCCACCAGGGCGCCTGAAAACGTTGAAGCTTTTTGTACAAGCTGCACATCTACTGGCTGGATGCGATGAATCTGTGGATCCACTGAAAGGAGTACTAGAAGAGTACTAAAAGAGTACTAACAAAGAACCTACAGGGGGAAGACCAGGTGATTTCTAGACTACAATACACCCAGTGGATCGCAGGCAAACATGTTTAGGTAACCTTTCTAGCGCCGCGCCCTCTGTGCACTTTTCAAGCCACAAAGAACAAGGTAACCTTCCAAGGACACCTAGGAGAACAACTGCAAACAGCAAAAAGGTCACAGGAGACAGCTCATATGTCCGGATCCCAGCCCGCATAGTGACGAACCCTTCGCGGTGTTCCTTTCGGATGAAACACGTGGCTCCCTTGGTTTTTCAACATTGGGCACCCTTCGAGGTGGTTGCTTCCCTTTGCCGAAAAAAAAGGAAAAAACACACACAACATCCAAAAAGGATCCCCTGTTCTGAGACAAACCGACATACACCAGTACAATACAGGCCCTTTCTGGGACATGGCGCCTACTATCTCTAGATTCGACAAATTCTAAAACCGATCTGCGGGTTCGGCAAACAATTCCAAGACCTGAAAAAACATGTGCGGCCTTGTTCCGCATCTTTGTACAAGTTGATTCAGGTGAGCTCGCCTTTATTTAGGAAGATGGGATGAAGATCCCCTTTCATTGAGAGCCCAAGTGCCAAAACTCGGCACGCAAAAAAAAACAAATACTACAGGAAAAGTCATGCTGTGGATGGACGAAATCCTGCACCACCCAAGACACCCTGGTGTCCGATTCGATTCCCCAACGTAAATACCAACAAGCAGTGGTTTCAACCATGGTTTCATTTCGCGGTGCGAGAAGCGTATTTCAATTTCAACCATCCACAGGATGTTTCTGGATTCTTTGAAATACTCAGTCTGCTAAAGTACACAAACAGGGGATGAAGAACCTTCCAAAAAAGCCTTCCAAAACAAGCCTCAGCGGGTAGATGAACCCTCTGGGTTTGTTTTGCAATGCTTCAAACATCGGATTGAAACTTACACATTCCCCCAAGGCTTGTTTGGCTTCTTGTATTTTGAGGTGTTTCGTGTTTTGCCTTTCTTGGTTTCCTCGAGTCGTTTCTGGCTCACGTGGCATGTTGCCCGGTCTTTTCTGTTCCTTTGTGCTTTGGCCGGTTTCCTCAGATGTTTGTGGGCATTGTTCTGGCAAATAGTATGGCTGCTCCATGGGTTTCTTTATCCAGTTTGCTTCCAGTGTTATCTCCAGCTTTGCAACATCTATCACGTGTCTGCCACATATACTAGGTTTAGCGTATGACCTCTAAGAGTACTGATTCTAATAAAGGGATGCTCCCATGGCTTTGCGGCCGGTCGCTTACAGAATCGTATGCTCATGCTGCATCCTAACCCATTGATCTGTGAACCCTCAGTGCTGTCTTGCTCACAAGTTGAAACTCCGCTGACTCCCCCTTTTGATTTGTCCACTGGGCGTGAAAGGAGTCTCTTGCAGGGTGGGGCTGGTTAAAAGAATCTAGAATTCTTGCTTGAACCAAGAGCTGTCTTTGAAGGATGAGGGCCTGTCTTTTTGTTCACGCATTGAGCCCTAGCCCCAACCCAACGAAAAAAAGAGAATCCGTTGCGGGGTCGATTCTACAGTGAAGAACTTTCCAAACAAAAAGGGGTCTTGTTGAGGGGGCCACTCAACCGGGGCAGGGACATCCCAAAACATGTGGAATAGGCGGAGGGTCCTCTTAAGGCGAGCCACAAGGATGGTTCATAGGGTGGGGGTCAATCTCTCAAACCGTTGCCCAGGGGGGTCCCCGCCTGGGCTTGCGATTGGGGTTCATGCCTCTAGCCTTTAGCGATCACCCAAGCCCGGTATCCCTCCCTTTGTGTCTCTTGTTGTGGTCAATCCCAAGGAGGTTCACCAACAAGAACATGCAAGGCACTAAGTCCATCCAAGAAAAAAGACCGCATTCCCGAGTGGAGCAGCAACACAAAGTCTAAACTGGTTGTTCACCACAAATACATCCCAGATCCCAAGCAACTAAAGTCAAGAACCCTTGGGGAGTGAGGTAAGCCACTTAGATCACTTACCAAATCATCCAAGTTGTCACACTTGGCGCTGAACAACCACCAAGATCACCTAGGTCCTCCAGTGGAGAGCTTTTTTCTGTAGTCCATTTTAGTAGGGGAACCCTCCCCCAAAAAAGTTGGCGAGAAAGGGCACCTAGCCTTGGGACCAAGATCAAGAACCAGACCATGGCTGAAACCTCCACCAGCTCTGAGACGATGGAACCTGCATGGGGCTCAAAACCACTTATGGATCACGTACCACTCCATGGCTGAGCTGAACCATCCAACGGGTCTGAAGGACCAATCCATGGGGGCTGAACCCCACTCCATGAAAGCTGAACCATCCAACGGGTCGAAAAGGACGACGCGAGGCGCGCAGCCGCGATTTCCGCCTTCTCCGGCACGCGCAGCTCCCGGGTCCTCCGCTGCGCCGCGCCCACGGAGGCCACCTGCCGCGCCTGGCGTCGGCTTCGAGAAGGCGTGGGGCATGGCAAGCGGGGGGGGGGTGGGAGGTGGTCCGGGCCAGCGCCGTTTGGGGATGGGTCAAAGCCCAAATCGGTTAGCCCCCACTAAAAATGCCCACTAAAATGCCCACTAAAATGCCCACTAAAATAGGTTCTAAAATGGGTGGTGCAACTATCCCAAAGGGTCAAAATGAAACCACCAGGGGAAACCGCAGGGTTTGGTCCATGTGTCCATTTACCAGGGTTCCATTTATAGAATTTGGGTACATGTTTTCGACCCACTGCCGTTTGGTTCAACGGTGCGAGAGGTAGGGAAAGGGTTGGAATGAACCGGTTTGGGGGATTCCCGAACAAAGGAAACCACGAGCAAGGGATGGTTTTCTTGGGGTGATTCCATGTCTCATTCCTTGAGCAGCAGGATCTCTTCCAGTGATAGATTCCCTTTGAAGTAACACAGGGGAGCACATTCATTTCAGCAAATAGAAGTTGTGCATACAGTTAGGGTCCTTGGAAACCACGCCAACTTGCGTCAGGTAAGAAGGGGTAGGTTTGTGCCCATCCACAGTACCTCCTTTCCCTCCGAAGAATGACCCACTCGAATCTATTGAACACTTAGCTCAATATGGACCCAAATCAGGGAAGCCGACAGGTCAGGTCCAGTCGATTCGCTTTGGGCATGAGTCGCCGGACAAAGAACCTGGGCTTCTTGCATACATGTTTTCCCTGGCAAGTACACAGGGAGCATGGGTTTGCCTCCTTAAATAAGGTAAACCCAAGGTGGCTGGTTTTCTTTTGGTTTCGAATCTATTCAACTTCCTATACCTCACAAACCAGAAACAAAAGATCTCCAAACAAGGAACTGCCATGGATGAGCACATTGATTCCTGGCCGTGATCGCCGCTCCTTGAACTTCCAGAAATTAGTTACCCAGCCAGCAAATCCAAATCCCAGCAGCTCCATTTGGTTCTCCCTCCCCCACTAACATGGAATGGGGAGGTACCTGGAAGATCAACTTGATCAATTCCCCGTCGGGTGCCATGGCAACGTAGGAGGGAGGGTAGCTTAAGCATCATGTACATGGGTGTGATTCGGCAAACTAGATAGACTCGGCAGATTTTGAGATTCGGTTAATCAGGCATCGCCATCTATTTTCCGCCAAAACATCAAAAATGGACTTGTCCTTGAATTCCAGTGTCTTCATTCTTAGGGATCCTTCTTTAGACAAAACCACCAAGGAAATAGAGGCCAGGGCTGGTTTCTCAAACACACGCTGGTCAAAACAAAATGGTTGACATCAACCTCTAGAAGCCTTGCCAGTCCCTTTGAGCCAAAACAGGGATCCGTACATTATACACCTGAACATTGCAACTTGTACAGGTGGCTTCCCTTTAGTTTGGTGTTGAAAAAACAACATGTTTCAATTGGTTGCAAACTGAATTTATTTTTTCAGGAGCCCTGCAAAACCGAGACCTTCTTAAGTGGGGTCGTGGAATACCTAAGCCATGGTATACCCTCGCAGTATACCCGTGTCCCGCGCCGTCTGCGCGAGCTCCTCGTCCTTCGGCTCGATCTGGCACGGGCGGGGGTTGAGCACCGCATGGTGCCAGGGACAAAGAAGCTGCAAGTGCTGGTGCATTGCCAAGAGTCCAGAAACTGGAGCGAGCCTTTGAAGGATTGCCACATCATGTTCCAAAAAAAAAAGGTGTCAAGTCCCAGGGGATATTTTGGAGTGCCATGTAGGGGTGTCGATTTTGAGGGTTTTGGGCTTGAAGGGAAACCAAAAGGAACACCACCATTTGCAGGTTCCCCCAATTTGGAGACAAGCTCGCATGGTGCCAGAACAAACTGCTGCTCCCCATGGCCAATTGGCTGTGGCTCAAAAAGATGGAGGCCATTTTTTTTGGCAAAAGGTAAATGGAACCAAAGACGGAAAAACTGGCGCTTGGCCCTAGCTCTGAAAAGTATTGAGCCACACCCAATTGCCAAGAGAACCAGCCTCTCGCCGGCAAACATGGGATGAAAGTAACAGGGGTCACTGGACTTCCCGTTCGAAACTTGCAATTCAAAGGTGGTTTCCATTGAAACTGCCACTTTTGGAGGTTCCAAAAAGGGACATGATTTGGATGGAACCACCCGATAAACCACACTTTTGAAATTGTGATTTGCAGCCCCCTACTAAAAATATGCACAGAACTAAACAAACGAAAGAAAACACCCTAAAAACAGATGCCAACAACTGTGCAATTATTCAGCCCCTTGTACTGGTTCCTTGCTGTGGCTGGAATCCCCATGTTGTTTGAAAGGAAGTCAAAAGGCTTCCTGCAGCGTAATTCGACATAAACATATGAGCAGAACCAAAAAAGCAAACACAAAAAACCAACAAATGCCAACTGAGCAGAACCCCAAAAGCAAAAAACACAAAAGATGCCAACAACAGTAAAGCTATAAGACATAACCCCTGTGAAACCTGGGCCACTGGACGCTCCCATCCCGGACGCGTCGCCTTCTTGTCTTTGGCCTTGGCCAGCTCCTCGAGCGCGAAAGAGAACGAGCCAAGCGAAAGAAGCGAGCCCGGGGGCAACTCTGGGGGAAAACGGGGACCTGCTTCTGTTGTTTTCCTTTTTTGTGTTGCCGCGAACGTCTGCTTCTCTGTTGCTTTTTGTTCCGAAATCCCTTCTGCTTCTGTTGGTTGGTTAGTTTTCCCCGAACTCCTGCTTCTCTGTGGGAGGTTTTGTTTTTTTCACTGAAACGGACAGAACCAAAACAAGAGGAGCTTTACACGCGACGTGAAGAAAAAGGCAAACCCTGGGACTTCGAACCATTCTGCTACAAGGGAGCTTTAACTACACAAGTACACCACGGGAACATGAGATTCCGCTCGTCCATAGGGGTGAAAGAGGCGACTCATCCGGCATGGGACACCCCCCTAGAACGGATCATGCCCCCTTGGGTTTCCATGTGCAGGATGAATCATGGTTCATTCTGAAAGGGACCGCGCTACAAGGAATGGACGACTCAGCATACGTGATCAGATCACACATCTCCAGGCGACTAAGTGTCCAGTTTCATTTTAGCAACATGGGACATTTCAGTCTTTAATGAAAGAATTGGGTTCCCTTACGAACCGAAAAACCACCTACGGGATCCCGTGAGACTGGTTGGAAAACAGGCTCCTTGTGAGCTGTCGGATCCGGCAGGATCTGCAAGTGCTCCGGCTTCAGAAGTCGAACCTGGCAGCTATCGACCAAAGGCACCGTTTGTTTTTCCTTCTCCTTTTTGTTTTCGTGTCTCCTTTTTCTCAACACGCACACACACACACACACAAATATGTTTTTTTTTTTTGTAAGAAGGCGGCACTCATTTTCTTTCTAATGCTTTTGTACACCACACACACACACTGATTTCTTGCCAATTCTAAGAAGGCAGCACTCAAATTCAAAAAGGCCATGGCCAAATCATAGGGCTGCGGCCATGGGTTGTCAAGACCAAACTTTTGCTTGTCGAGGCCAAGGTTCTGCAGCCCGTTTTGGGATTCCCAAGCTTCGGATTTCGCGGAACGACGCAGAAATCCCAACGGACTCACTTCCTGAGAGATCGGCCAAGTCAAGTCCAAGCTTTTGGTTTACCAAATGGCCTTCCCGGCCTTCCCCAACAGTTTTCTACATGTCCAGAAACTGGGGGGACGGAAGTAGATTCCCTCAAACAAACAAGGCGTGGGTTGAATCCTGGGTTTCAGTGATTTTCCCAGCGCAAGCTATGGGCCCCCCTAGAAATTCAAGCTTCGCTTTTGTGCCAAAGAAGCGTTTCCTGCGTCCGGGGAAAAAATACCGAGGGCGGCCGAAAGGTGACCTCAAGCTTGAAGCCAGTGTTACCATGAGTCAAGTGCTTCCACCGGGCCAAGCCTTTAAGTGGTTAGTAACCTCCAGTTCACCCACACTTACCTGGCTGTGGCTAAAATAACGGGACCCCAAAATGGCGGCTTTCCTTTTGGTGTTCCTATTTTGCAAAGGACTGAAGAAGCCAAAAAAAACTTGCTCAACTAATTGTTTTTTGTTGTTTTAGGCGCGGCAAAAACACACAAAAAGAAATATAATCATTGCAAGGGCATTGCAGAAGTCAATAATGTGCAAACACAGTTTTCACTGAGGTTTTTACAGCTCAAAATGCGTCCAAACAGTGCGCGCGTCTAAATGTCAATTTGCACTTGTATGTCGGGAAACAAAGCATTTAGCCAACCCCACAACCATCTAAAACGGGTGCGCAAATGGGTTCGACGGGTTTTGGGGCCCCCCCTTGTTAACAACGGAACACGGCCACAACCTCTCTTTGATGACATAAACTAAGACCCAGTAGCTACAGAAATATTCTGATTCGAAAGGGAACCCCGGACAGAAAATCACCAAATTCTACGTGTGCTTGTTGGTTCGTTGCAACAAGAAGCCCACCTCGTGGAAAGGAAAAAGTGGCACCCCAGTGTCTGGAACAGGGGTACGGGCTCCCTTTAGCAAGACTCAAAGTCGGTTTGCCTTTGGGGAGAGCAATCACTGGGTGCAAGTCAACCTTGGGTATAAATGAACCCTAGATCCTGGTCTCAAACACTGGAAATCATAAATCTGCTCCTACCCCAGACCCAAACACACAGTAGGCCCTATACAGAAGGCTTGAAAAGGAGACGTGGCCTTCGATTGCTTGGTAGAAGCAATCCCCTGTTAGAAAGACAAAGCCAACCCGAAACAGAAAAAACACAAAACCATGTCTTCTCAGTCCAAACGTTTCAAAATGTCCAACCAAATCCCTGTATCAAACATATGGGTGTGTGTCAGAATTAAATAGTTAGGGTTACGCAGGTGTTAGTCTTTGTTTCCATTTACCAAGGTGCCATGTTGGTACGTTTATTTGAGCCACAGCCATATAAAGGAGTAGATACTCCTTATGTTGATCTGCCAATGCACAGCAACCCGCAATCTCTTCGGAACCGGACCTGCCCGTCCAGCTTCACATTCCAGGCGTGCCCGTCACTGTGCAGCTTCTCAAGCCTTACTCCCCCAGACCCCCAGACCAAACCACACACCAGGACAACATCGGCCGAAACAAAAAGATGCTGGGTTGCCGCTTGCTCCAACCCCCCCCCCCAATCGAGCAAAAGGTCGAGTCTGAGCGTTTGCAGGCTCGAATGGCAAGGCCAGTTTGCTTCCAAAAGTTCCCTCTCCTCTTGGGTCCTCGGGACCCGGTCACACCGAATCGATGGACCAGGTAGGTATGCAACCAAACCCTGGTCCTCTTTTGCAGTCGGAAACAACGGGAGATTGTTCAGCCGGGATGCCCCGAAGCCAATGTCAGAAGGGCAACAAATTTCTCGGAAGAGGGAAGCAACAGGAAACCAGTGCAAGGAATTGCTTTTACTTCCGACCTTTGCTTCAGGTACGGCTTACACCACGCATGCAAACCTAGGCCCAGGCGTGCCAGTCTTGCCAAACACATCGGTTTCCGCACCTTCCAGCACGGTGACCTGCGGGGCCAGCACTACTTGCAGTGACGGGCTCACGGTTGATGCCCACTCTGCTCATGCCCAGTGCCAGTACCTGCTAGTGAAACAAACGCACTCTGCCCTTTTCTCGTCATTCAGGCCAACGCCCCTCGTAGCTGGCCCGGACTGGGGTGATTCACTTGCTCCAAAACTTGCTCCAAGAGGGCATGCCGTTTTTTGGGGGGTCATGTAAATCTCTGATGGCGCTTGCTTTCCCTTTGCTTTCCCTCCCGATGATTGAAAACATTGCGCTCCGCGCCATGTTCGCACAAACCTTACAGCTCGCCCATTTTTGTTTGGAGTTTAAAAACCCTCGAAGTTTTCCCCGCCGCGTGTTCGGTCCTTTCTTCGTGCCCCCAAGCGCCGACCACTGGCGCGCCTGCAGACCTTTTCGCAGCTGGCACAGGCCAAACCAACCTCAGACATCCGAGCTAGGGGGCACCGGGCTCAAGGGAACCCCTTGCAACCGTGCGACCCCCCCCCAAAAAAAAATAACAGCAGAAGACGAAGACGAAGAAGAACAGAAACGCGAGGTGCCCTGTCATCAAAAAGGAGAATGGTGGTTGAATGGAGACAAAGGCTAAATTGACTTGTTTTAAGGTACATGGAAGCTCAACCGAACAACTCACGGTGTGCTTGTTTTTTGCTTGATTGATTGCTTGCTTACATGCTTATATACTTGTTTGTTTTGTTTGTTGCTTTGCTCTTGCTTATTTGTTTGCTGCTGCCTGGGTGTTTCAACTCAAAAGAACCGGATCAGCAAGCACATCAGGTACGTCCAGGCTTGCATTGTCAAACCCTGGGGTTCCCAAAATCAGTGCCACCGGACAATTTGCCATCCGCACGAGTCGCTACGTTCCATGAGCCAATGATGTCCTTCGGCACATGCACATAAACATATACACATGTAGATACGTGTGTCTGTGTGTGCTGTATGATGTATATTTGCAATAGAAATACCACCAATAATAAAAATCACAATCACAAGCATAAGGAACAATAATAATAAGCATGATCATGATCATGATCATGATCATGATGACGATGACGATGAGGATGAGGATGATGACGACGATGATGATGATGGTGATGATGATGAACATGAAAATTAAAATGATGATGATGATGATGATGATGATGATGATGATGATGATGGTGGTGGTGGTGGTGGTGGTGGTGATGGTGATGGTGATGGTGATGGTGATGGTGATGGTGATGATGATGATGATGATGATGATGATGATGATGATGATGATGATGATGATGATGATGATGATGACGGTGATGACGGTGATGATGGTGATGGTGATGACGGTGATGGTGACAATCGTGATGGTGATGGTACGGATGCTTTGGGCCAGCAGGGACTGCTTCATGGGTGATTCAACCAAATTCAGGAATCTTCTTCTGGATCGTCTTGCAAGGGCCTAAGGGAAACACAGACCACATTTCCCAAAAAGTGAAAGCCTGCTTGCATCTTCTTTTACGGAAGTCACCGGCTGCAGTTCCTCAAAACTCTCCGGGTTGTCTCTAAGAATGTCCAAAGATGAAGACACTGTGGGTCTCGTATAGGACGTCAATTCCAATGCCCTTTCTCATGATTGAAACCCCCCCCCTTCGGCCGAAGAACCTGGTTGGCCTGTTGCGTAAGAGTCCACGCCGGATGTGTGGCTGTGAGTCTGAACAAATCGACAAAACCATTGCTGAGAAGCCCAGTGACCATTTGCTGTTGGCTGGTGGTAGAGGGCCCTTTCCAAAAAAATCGCACCACTTTAAAACCATGGAACACCATTGTTCGTTGGTATTTAGAGAGGAATCATGATGAGGGTTTGTTAGGAGGTGCAGGATTTCGTCCATTCACAGTAGGGTGTCTGTCATTGGGCATCTGGGTCCTTGAGGGGACGCTGAAACAAGGGATGCAACAAGGTGTGACAAAACTGAGGATGGCTGAGTGCAAAATTCAAGATTGGGGAAAGGCTGACCCATTTGACAGGCCACACATTTTTCCCCCTGCAACAGTCTGCTGCCAGCAAAACAACCAGGGAACATGTGCGTGTATATGTGCTGTATGTGTCTGTATGGGTGGTGTTGAGGGTAGTTACCCCTTTCAGGTTGGTTTAAAGGGAAACCAAAAGGACGATAAATATGTTTGAAGGGATTCAACATCCGCATATCCCAGGAGATGCCCTAAAATCAGTCACCCTTTTGTCGAGCATTGATTAAACTCAAGCACGGCCTTACCACGTGCGCTGAGTGAAACTTCATCTGAGAGCTCGCTAAGAACAACCCACGCTCATTCCTATCATCAGTCCTTGAAGACGAAGAGCGAGTCCTTGAACAAGTCGGCAAACAACAGTGCTCCCTAATGTTGACCCCATATTAGTCAACCCCAGTTCTTGAATCCGGGGGGTGGGGGCTTTTCCAAAAGTGATGATGTGGTCAAATTTATATCTCCACTTCAAGCATCACCCCACCATGAGGAAACTCAGCGACAATTCCTCCAAAACGCCCTCCCCAGTCCCCGCTTCTCTCTGAGATGGCAACCAGAAAAAAAGGCTTCCACTGTTGTCAGATTCCAAAATGGTACCAACCCCCCAAACAAAATGGACAAATGTGGCAAAAAAAAACACACCCTTTCCGTTGTGGCATCTGAGTCAAATGTTGTATATCCCATACGCCAAATGAGTCATAGTCAAACCTGGCATCAAAATGGTCTACCCAACATTGCACCCATCTATGGTTGGGACTGTCCCTCAACCTTCATCTACCTGGGTTTCGATTGTGGTTCACACGAAGACTGGACACGAAAACTAATCGACACCTGGCCCCTGACTTTGGATTTCCAGGTGGAGTTTAAATAGGTCCTCCAGTGCAGAGGTTAGAATAAAGGTACCAACTTTCTTGTGTAGTCTATTTTAGTAGGGGAACCCTCCCCCAAAAAAGGATGAGAAAGGGCACCTAGCTGGGGGACCTAATTAAGAAAAAAGGCACACACACACACACCCGGTTCGCCTACGGAAGCCTCGGTTTGAAAAAAACACGATTCTCGAAGTCGAGGAGCACCTCTAACCTTTTGTCGATGTGCCACTTGGGGGCGTCTTATTTCAGGAATCGGACGCCCCAAAACAAAAACGGCGGTTTTCCCGTTGGATTCCCTGAAAACACCGCAAAAAGAGGGGGGACCAAATCTGAAAAAGACTCGGCCGCTTACGAACTGGACGTTTTGCCTAAGTGGGCTTTTCTCGTGACCTGGGTTGGACAAGCTTGACCAACATGTAGCGTCTATCTGGCGTTTGAGCGATTTTCCAAGACGAAACCCTAAAGCAAACATATATGCTATTTCGGCCGTGGCTACTCGCCAGCCAATCGCCAAGGGGAAAAGGGGGCGCTCCCCGCGTTCTGGTGATTGATCTTGAAAGGGCACCTTCTTCAAATAAAGATGCGTTGTATTACCGGCAGTATCGCTCACACACAAACGCACACAAACACACGCACAACACACACACAGACACGCACACACAGACACGCGCACACACACACACCCACACCCACACCCACACCCCATGCACACAAACACAACACAACACAACACAACACAACACACCACAACACAACACAACACGCAATGTACATTAATCACGCACACACACACACACAACACAGACACAGACACAGACACAGACACTGACACAACACAGACACAGACACAGACACAGACACAGACACAGACACAGACACAGACACAGACACAGACACAGACAAAGACACAGACAAAGACACAGACACAGACACAGACACAGACACAGACACAGACACAGACACACACACACACACACACACACACACACACACACACACACACACACACACAACGCGCACACACACACACACACACGAACACGCACACGCACACGCACACGCGCACGCGCACGCGCTCGCGCACGCACACGCACACGCCACACGCCACACGCCACACGCCACACGACACGCCACACGCCACACGCGCACGCACACGCACCGGCACACGCGCAGGCGCACGCGCACGCACACGCACACGCCCACGCACACGCACGCACAGACACGCACAGACACACACACACACAATCAGACACAGACACAGACACAGACACAGACACAGACACAGACACAGACACAGACACAAACACAGACACAGACACAGACACAGACACAGACACAGACACAGACACAGACGCAGACACACACACACACACACCCACCCACCCACCCACCCACCCACCCACCCACGCACAGACAGACAGACAGACAGACAGACAGACAGACAGACAGACAGACAGACAGACAGACAGACAGACAGACAGACAGACAGACAGGCACACACACACAACCACGCGCACACACGCACACACACAAAACACATGCGCAACCACGCACAAACACACTCAAGCACGCGCAAACAACAAGCAAACACCCGCAAACACGCCCAAAACACGCGCAAACACAAGCAAAAAGAAGCAAACACGCGCAAACACGCCCAAAACACCCGCAAACACAGGCAAAAAAGAAGCAAACACCTGCAACACAAACGAAAAGACAAACTCACAAATACATGCAAACACACAAACACACCAATACGCAAGCACACACACACACATATGCGCAAACACAAGCAACCCCACGCAAAACACACACGCACATATGCGCAAACACAAGCAACCACACGCAAACACAAGCAAACACAAGCAAGCGCACACACACAACCACGCGCAAACACAAGCAAACACACACACACACACAAACACACAAACCCGCAAACACACGCAAACACACGCACAACACACACACAAGCAAGCACACGCAAGCACACGCAAGCACACGCGCAAAAACAAGCAAACACACAAACGCACAAACAGACAAGCGCACAAACAGGCAAACACACGAACAGGCAACCCCACGCAAACACACATGCACACGCAAACACCCGCAAGCAGGCATTGGGGAAAGCAATTGAAGCAACCCACTGAAGGTATTTCGGGGGTGCGATCCATCCGAGCATCGCAGGAAGCCACTGCCACCATACCAGGAGCAATGGCTGCACTGGAAGATCCAGAGAAGGCTGCGTCCGTGTAGTAGGACGAGACCTGGACTCAAACCCCAAAGGGTCCCGTGGGGTTTGACCTGTCAGACGAGGCAAGCGTTCTGCTTTGATCAACTCACTCAGAAAGCAGTTGAGAACCATGGTTGTAATTTGGAGGCTAGATGAGCCACTGACAGAATGCGGGCTTAACTGCTAGAAAGCCGAAAAACAAAAGCCATGCTATTTGTGGTGGTCTAATTCACGCCCAAACAGGCGTAAACCCCCACAAACGGGGTTCCCCTTAAAAAAGGGCGCATCCAAATGGGGACTGGGTCACCCCACCTCATCGTCCCCGATGACC